TTCTCATCAGCTTCCAATTTCAACTTATTTCTCTCAAGTTCCACCGCCCTTTGACGTTCCCGTTCCTTCTCATCAGCTTCCATTTTCAACTTATCTCTCTCAAGTTCCACCGCCCTTTGACGTTCCCGTTCTTTCTCATCAGCTTCCATTTTCAACTTTTCCATTTGGAACCTTTCTCTGTCCATTTCTGCTTGAATTGCCAGTCTTTTGATTGAGCTGTAGTCATCTTAACCTGTTTCTCTGAATCTTCGGACGACATTTTAATATCTTCAATAGAGCGCTATTCTTTGATAATGGAGTCCTCCTCGATGGATGATCCCAAACCGCTGCCACCAAATATGTTACCCTCAATGTTGCCCTATCGATGAAACCAACGAAAACAACTCAATACAGTATAAATGTTGATTATTATAAGAGAAACACATAACATCGCATGGCCTGAGTATCTGAGCTCCTACTCCTTCCAAGGCCACACCAGGACTGATTCTATCTGGTCGGCATAATGATACTGTTATTGGTCCAGCCACATCCAGACACTTGCGTAACTCAAGTAACTCAATATGACTGATGTGGGGTGCCGTGTTTTGGGAAGCACTCCTGACCTTAGGCGGTCAGATGTACACTGACCACATGTTTGACCTTGGGTGGTCAAACTCCCTATTTACACAGTGCTGGTCTATTAATCTCTTAAATTATTTTTAGTTTCGATATTCCCTCACATTTTTAGTTAGTTTCCAGCTAGCCTTTTTTGGTCACCTGAGACAAAGTCTCAAGTGACCTATTGCGATCGCCTTTTGTCCGTCGTCGTCCGTCGTCCATTGTCCGTCTTGCGTCCGTAAACAATTTACATTTTCGACTTCTTCTCGAAAACCCCTGAACCAATTTCAATGAAATTTTGCAGGAACCTTTCATGGATAAAGGTCAACAAAAATAGTGGCCGGTTTAGTCCCAAGCCCCCAGATGGAAGGGTCTTCAGGTGCTTTAACATAATTGTGAATTTCATGACCCTGGGGTCACACGTTTTCCCCTAGGGAGGGGGTAAACTTTGCTATAGTTTATATAGGGAAATCACATTTTGGACCAAAATTTGTTTAATTTCCATTGGAAGTAATTCAATTCAGGTTAGCATTATCAGTATTAGGTAGCAGTTTGATAGTATGCACATATCATCCCTGACTGAACCCTCGGTGCTGATGGGTGGGGCCAAAAAGGGTTGAATTGACAGAAATTTCAAAAATCTTCTTCTTAAGACCAAGATATGGTAGAATCAATACTCTTCATAGATGGAAGGGTCTTAAGGTGGTTTACAAAAATTGTGAATTTCATGACCCTGGGGTCTCACGTTTACCCCTGGGGAGGGGGTAAACTTTACTATGGTTTATATAGGGAAATCACATTTTGGACCAACATTTGTTTAATTTCCATTGGAAGTTATATAATTTGGGTTAGCATTATCAGTATTGGATAGCAGTTTGATGGTATGCACATATCACCCCTGACTGACCCCCTGGGGCTGATGGGTGGGGCCAAAAAGGATTAAATTGACTGAAATTTCAAAAATCTTCTTCTCAAGACCCAATTATGGTAGAATCAAACACTCTTCATAGATGAAGGGGTCTTTAGGTTTATGACCCTAGGGTCTCACGTTTACCCAATGGGGTGGGGTGGGGG